GTTATGAAAACCAACAAAGTCAACATTCTTCAATGTAAGCTCAAATAAAATTGTATACAAAGAGCTTTTTGTAGCTAGCACCGAAGGTATTAACTGGATTTTGTTATTAAGCTTATTTAAATTTGTTTGTAGCAAGAGTAATTGAGGAGGAGATGTTCGGGATAGACAACTTGTGTTGGATGTCTGCAAATGCAACATCAGAAGCTTCAAGGCTTGCAGAATTTTTGATTCTGCAGACTGGTATGACTGCATTTGGGAAAGCATATTACAGAAACAAAGGCGATCTTGTGTCTAATGTATGTGTGTAGGATTTGAGTCTAACAGCTTCTGTTTCAATACACACTGCTTCCCTTGACAAGTATTTTTTGCATATTAACAAGCCACAAGTGATGTTCAATTTTTTTGTACAGCTTGCAACGAAGCTTGAGGCACTCCGAGATGAGTATATGCGTTATGGTACAGAGAAGTGTTTATCAGTGCTAAGAGAATACCATTCAGCGGTTGAGACAATCACAGGTCTGGTTCTAGTGTGATTTACATGCATTGAGAAAATCTCAAGTCACATATTGGTTAGACATAGAGTTTGAGAAAAAGTTCATATAGAGTAACGCACCTCAGCTTACAAGCCGATTTTGTAAGGAGTTAAGCCAAACTCTAATTCTAATATGGTATTAGAGCCTATAGTTTATATTCACACACCAAACCCAATAGAGCTCTGATACCATGTAGAAAAACAGGAAGTTATTTCAATTAGTTCATGATAGTTAAGGCTTGTTTTTAGGAAATAACTGTAAAAAAATAGAATACTAACTACTATCAATATTTTCATAGCAACTTTTCTACATGCATATTTGTTATGCAGAGATTTTGCTTGAAAAGGGGAAGATCAAAGCTGAGGAGATTTGGGACATTTATAAGAGTGCTCCTCGTGTAGCTCAGGTAAATCTCAAACTAAAGTGGAGGGTGCTGTCCTGTTGGGCCTTTGACATTGTTAGACATATGTTATTTTGATATTTTCTAATGACATGTTTAACTTAGCATTTCATGCATGATTAAAAGGTATTCAAGCATTTAAAGATAGTTAGTTACTTGAGAGATGTTTATGAACGGAAAAACATTTATTGGATTCTTTTAAGGGTTACAAACTCAGAATTTCAGTATGGCAAGCTGTAGTTTTTTTTGTTGAAAACTTTTATCATCACCCTTAGTTGAACAAATGATTATTTGTTATGATCTTTTTTGGGGCCCTTTTTAGCCTTCTGTGAGTCCACTTGATGAATATGGAGCACTGATTTATGCTGGACGATGGGGAATCCATGGGATCAGTCTTCCTGGGAGGGTTACATTTGCACCGGGCAATGCTGGATTTTCAACCTTTGGTGCACCACGCCCTACAGAGGTTTTTTTTTTTTAGCTGAAACTTGTTCTATATGTTGCATTAATTTATTATTTCTCTTGCAATTGATCTGGATTCCTTTATTTATTATCTAAACAACTTCTTTTCACTGTAGACGCAAATTGTTAATGATGAAACATGGAAGCTAGTAGATGATGTCTGGGATAAAAAGGTTCAGGATATTAGAGATGATACTTTAAGGGAGATTGAAGAAGAGAAAGAAAAGCCGCAACTTTTGATGGCAAGTCATTTCCTCTGAGGGGAACTTGTATTTGACCTGCAGGTTTGTTGGCATTTTATTGTATTCCAAGTTTCCAACTAGCTGGTTTTGTTTGTGCCTGTGGTGAGTTATGAAATGAGGTGATAACTGGAACACACTTTTTTTAACTTGATTGCCACGGACAGGAACTATCTACCATGAAACAAATACAAATCATCTTTCAGTTATGTAAAAGAAATAGAGAAATTGCCTCCTTTATGCGGAGTTCATGGATCAAACTAGTCACTCTTGTTTTTTTCCCTCTGGTTTAAGATTGTAAATTTTTATCCTGCTCTTTTAGTTGGTAAGCTGCTCTGTCAGGATGTTTTTCCTCCCTTACCCAGTTCTTTATCAGCTGGAATCTCAACTTGGAGTGTATATTATCAAAACAAAGTTTGATCCTCTCTCGAACAATCTAGCTGAAGGTGATACCATATTTTGAAAGAAGCCTTTTTCGCCCCAGATGGCGCACTGGGATTTCTAGTATGTGCTTGTTGAGTAAGTAAGGTGCATTACTTGTTAGTTACTTCCCATATTGTAATTCATTATAGGGTTACCATGTTAAGGCATTGTAAATTTATCAATTGACTTCAAAAGTATCTATGTTGTTGTTACTTTGCAGTCTGTCTTTAATGATAAATTAAAGTGTAAAGATTAGAACGCTATACTGTTTTTTTTACATGCTTTTTCTTCACCAGCCTTGCACAACAATTAGTCTCTCATTGAACCTCGTATCTGATGAAGATTTAAAAATGACAGTATTGTATCAAGTTTTTTAATGACAATTATTACTTGCCGTCTCATGACCTCTTTGGCACTTTAACTCCTATGATGTTCCTCGACATCATCATCTCTCCATAAACGTCAAAAGTGATATGCAAAATCTAGTACTTAAAATTTAATCTAATTCAGTAGATTTCAAATTATATTATAATTCCTTATATTGATTGAGTTATTTGATTTGAGGATTTCTAATAGTTGTCTACATTATTGATTCTTGTCCATGCCTTGTAATTGTGTCATAGTCATCAAGTGTCTTTTCCTCTGCTACCAAGCACTAAACCTAAGGCTGATTTTTCATTGGTAGTATTACACCTGCTCCTTTTTTTCGCTTTGGATTATCATTTCTTAAACTGGGAATAGGTCACCGTTTTCCTATAAACTCACTTGCTCATGCACACATATTCGTAGGAATTTATTGATTCATTGTTTTTAAGTCAACTATCAGCTCTTCAAACAGTTGAACAAATTTAATATTTTAAATAAATAGAAATATAAATAAAAATTATGCATATTTTTCCGTTTATAATGGGTTAAAACGAGTCCAGATTGTTCCACGATGCAAAAGTATAGCTCCTGATTGAAGCAAATCACTGAGATTTTTTCAGTGGCTACACTTTTCTGCTTTTTAAAATTTTTCTCTTTTGACAACTTTCTTCTCTGTCTCAATTATTTTCAACTTTCATCTTTAAACCCTATTAAAAACTTTAGGAACAAATTCTATAATGACAGGCTGTTATTATACTCCAGCATAAGTTTGTTTGATTTTGAGCTATCCATAATCCTCTCACTAATTCATCAGTGGTTTTATTTTAAACTTGATACAAAAATTGTTGTATCTTGTACAAAACTCATGTGTTTTGCACTTGTTTCAAGCTACAATATTGAGTTCTGAATTATCATCACACGTTCTTTTAACCTAACCATAAGGTGAAAAAAGAAGTAAATAACATTCTTAAAATAGGAGATGTTGAGTAAATTTTTTTCACCATCCAAGTACAAAAAGTAGACCAAACATAAAAGTTGTGTAACTTTTTACGCCTATATGATCTAGAAGGACCCAATAATAGGAGGTTAGGTTAATGCTTCTCCTATTGTCTATGCACTGTCCAAATAAGTATTGCTGTCTTTTCCCTTTGCCAAAGTAGTCACGTTTCAGAACATGTTCGATATTCTTGTTGGTTTATGACCCGTGACCCTTGTTGCCGATGTTTTTATACTAGTAGACAACCAAAGCCTCTTGAGTACATGAGTTGCTACCTTCCAATTAAAGCCCTGAATCACTCCGTAAGTAATAAATCCAACAAGATAAAACAACTCATTTTTTATATTTCAAGGTAGTCCCCCTACAAAATCATATCATATAGTATTAACAGAAGATAATGTCCTTTACTTCTAGGAGAGATTCTTTCATCAACAGAGTTTGTCACGTGAGCCTTGATCAACACGCTACTTTTCCTACATAGTTAATATATTACAAGAATTTAAGGTACAATATTTAATATGTGTTTATGTGTTACAAGAAAGCAAATCTAAATAAGATATCAATAATCTACTTTACTTTTTCCTTTTGGTGAAACTTGGATCTTGAGTGTGCTTTTCTCACAAGTTTGAATCAAGGTACAAGTTAAAAATTAGTTTTATGTCGGTTCATATATTACTTTGTTATGATTTTAAAATAAACATCCTTTAGATTAGTCGATTATAAACTGTTTTTAACAAAATAATCCAACAAGTTCTCTAACAATTTTTCTTTTAATTAAAAATAATTGATATTTCATTAATTCAAATTAAATTAATAGAATATATCATTCCAATACAAATTTAAAATTGGCAAAAACAAAAAGATGAATATGCAAACAAATTTACAGTATTCATGTTAATATCATAAACCGATAAATTGTATAAGTCTACAAATATAATTGTATTAAATATCTAAAATATTAATGCATTTAAATCTGTAGTGTTAATGACACCAAAATCATAGATTAAATCTGCACTAAATCAAAACTAATCTTTTAACCTAAAATAAATAAACCTCACACAAAAATAGAAAAATAAAAATTATTAAAAGTTAGTCATCAACAAAATTGGTTATTATTAAAAAAAGGTAAATTCTTGTCACCCCAGTAAAGTTGGAGTATTTTACCTATATCAATGAAATTTGTCACATAAATTAAAAATTATATATTAATCTAAAATTTTGAAGAATTAAAATTAAATAAAAAAATAATAATTTGATCTTTGAATAACATATTAATACGTCAAGTATGAATAATGACTCCTATATTTAATAGAAAAGAGGATGTTGAACATTTTTTAAGTGAGAAGAGACATAGACACAATAACTTAAAGTTTTTGATTAATATGTGATTTAAAAAATTTATTTTATATTACAAAATTCATTAATATATATCATGAGAGGTAAATTATCCTCAATTTTACGGAGAATAGGATAGAGTTAGCCTTTAAAAAAATAAAGTAAAAAAAATCATCCACTTCTTGACTTTATTGCCTCAATTTTTCTATATACTAACTTTCCCCTAAAATTTTCTAATCTCCATAATGGCTTCTAAGAAAAACTTCTCACAGTTTCTCCTCCTTCTCTTCCTAGTACACTATGCATTTGTGAATGGAGACACCACTTTAATCAAAAGCACTTGCAAGAACACCAAGTACTACAATCTATGTTTCTCTTCTCTGAAATCCAACCCTACCAGTCCTAACGCAGACACAAAGGGCTTAGCTTTGATCATGGTTGGGATTGGAATGACAAATGCCACTTCCACTTCTTCATATTTGTCTTCCAAATCTCTTACACCTACTAACAACACTACTTTGCAAAGGGTCCTCAAAGAGTGTGCAGATAAGTACTCTTATGCTGGTGATTCCCTCCAAGCTTCAGTGCAAGATTTGGCTGATGAAGAATATGATTATGCTTACATACACATCACTGCAGCTAAAGATTATCCAAATGCTTGTCATAATGCATTCAAAAGGGTTCCTGATTTGGTTTACCCAACTGAGCTTGCTAGTAGAGAAAAAGGTTTGAAGCATATATGTGATGTGGCTATGGGGATCATTGATAATCTCATTAATTTGTAGGTAGGTAGCTTCATGCACTTTTTGTTACTTCTATTTTGTAATGTAAAATCCTCTTCTATTTAGCATTTTTCTACTATATATTTATTTTTATGTTCTGATTGTAATTAATTAAAAATGGGGATATACCCTTGTTTTATTAATATAAGGCTAGTTGGAGTATTTAATATTTTGTTATATGATCATTCATCAACAATGATTCTTACTAAATCCAGTTTGTGTTGAAGGATAGATTTCCAACTAAATGTGTTGTTAAACAATATGAAGTCATAGTCATTATGGGGCCTTCTTGTGTCGAAGCCACATGCATAGTAAAAGGCTTGAACTAGTTGAGGTGATTATGATCATTTGCAGTATAGTAAACACATGTTTTGAGTCCAAAATGGAGCTTATTGATATTTCCTTTTGGGAAAGACGTTTCACTTGATTTGAACTCAATTGAGGTGTTGCTAGTCCTCTAGATAGAATCATGGTGTCTGATGGGAGTTGTGGGGTATGGCGTATCACTGAGCTTAGCATAGAGATTCCTTTTTTTTTTTTTTTTAATTTCTTAACGGACCCTATCCATTTCTAACACACCTCTTATGAAAATACAAATATACAATAATATCCCTAAGATTCTAGAAATGCATTTTCAGACGCAATTCAAACATATAATTCATTTGTTTTAAATAGATGTCCTAATTTTATGATTAAATCATTTCGAAAATGCATTTTATGTATTTTCAAAATGTCTTCGGAAATACATTCCGAAACCTATTATATCTTCCTTGTTTGTACACACGCTACCTCATCATGGTCACAATATGCTTCATTTACCATAATTATTGATTTCTCTGCAAAATAGGTTTATATTATACACAATTATCTATCGTTGGATTTCCATAATCATCATGTTTTCTGGGGTTGTTGCTTAAACAAATAAAATTTTATGAATCTGAATTGTTTAGGGTTATTGTAGATATAAATGCAGTTGTTTACTCTGATTTCTGTTGGTGTTAGTTGAAAGTGATTTTAACAAATTTTTATTTACTAAATATGATTCAAGTATATCATTAATAACACGCATCATCAATCATCATAAAATAGCAAATTCATCGATTTTGTTGTTAGGATAATAATACCTTTATTGAATAAATTTGATCAGCAGGTTCCGAAAACACATTTTCGGAGTCCCTCCAAAATTATATTTTTGAAATAAATTTAGTTATAAATTTGGAGTGTAGTTTAAAAACGAATGAATTATGTGTGCATGAGGTGCGTCTGGAAATGTATTTTTTGGAATTTGAAGGACATTTTTGAATTTACATAGGATGTTTTTCCATCACTTAAGGTGTTGTTTGCACGGATTTCTGACAAACAATCTCTAGCGTCTTAATTAAATGTTACTTGTATAATCGGCTATAGAAATCATAGACTTGGTGTTAAGTTTGATATGAATTTAATGTTTGGACTGGGTTGAACCGAATCATAAATGCCATCAATAAAAGACAACAATTGCAAGGTAAAAATAAAAGAACAAAACAAGGTTTTAAAAAGAAAATAACAATGTAAATTGCATTAAATTAAATATAGAAGCATGCATACATTTTAAACTTGAACTCGTTTATCTTAGAATGCAGATACTTTGAGTAATTCTTTGAATGTAGTAAAATGTGACATCTAGAACATAAAACAAACTTTGCTTAAATACATATAAAAATAACTGCTATCTAAACGTTCGACCATTCGCAACCTGCCACGTATTAAGATCATGCGAAAACTACTTTTGACAACTCCCCACGTTCTTGGAAATTGTTTTTCCAATTTCTTTGTGTTAACCGCCTGCACATTTCGACTTGGTTTCGACGAGATTTCGCCACAACATTTGACTAAGTTCTTGAAGCCTTTCGTTGAGCCATTTGGTTGGTTCGACTGGAAATTATGTGGAGTCTACAACTTTCGACGCTGCTAAGTCAATTTCAACTGAGATTATCTTCGATTGAAAAATTTGGCATTTTCTCTTCTGTAAATTTTTGATAACTTGTTTGTTTCGCTGACGACATTGGCAATGATGGCTACTTTCTACATTGCGAGTTCCAACGATGCTACATCACTCCCCATGATTACTTCTATTCCCTAGGTCGTAGGATTTCCCCCACTCCCAATAACTTTCCCACTTCAAAGGAAATGGAACCGTCACCACTTGTTTTCCTAACTAACACTTGTTCACCATCGGAGGCCTTAACTTAGCCTATAAATATTATTTTCTACCATTTTGAAAATCCTTTCATTTTACCTTATTCTTCTTAGTCTTTTGCAGTGCAGAAACAACCAATTTCTTATGATTCTCTTGTTCTTGTTTCTTCATGATAATGGAATCATCTTCTCTAACCCAAGTGAATACTAGTAACAATCTTGTGGCTTTTGTTCTTACTGAAGAAGAAGGCTTACAAGAAATTCCTCATTCACCTTCTATTAATGCTTTTAAAGTAGTAAACTGGTAAAACCAAATGCTCATACTTTTCGCCACCTGCTTACAAAAAACGCCCTCTCAACGTGAAGTTCATGAATCACACGAGGATCTTTCGATCTATGCACACTCTTAGTAACAAGGCTTGGTTGGCGTGGCTCAATAAGGTATATGCGAAGAAAGCAAATCAATGGCAAAAAGATGGCATTTTCGACACCATTCAACTGTCGAGAACCGTTCATAAGGTAAACCCAAACATGGTTCTTGCTTCGGTTTTCTTCTGAGAAGGTTCAACAAACACTTTCTAGTTTCCTTAAGGGATGATAACTCCCACGTTGTTCGACATCGCTGCTATTACGGTTCTTTCACCTTTAGGCGAAACCTTCGACCCTACATTGTCGACCAATTTTAAGTTCAACTTTAGTCGATCTAGTCTCAACCAGTATATCGAAGATCACCATGTCAAAAATACTAAAGACGTCGACGACATGGAACACATTACCTTCTTAACATGTTGGCTCTCATACTACCTGTTATGTCCAGGTTCCCTACAAATAGCCAAAGGCTATATAAACCTAGATATCCAAATCCATGAAGGTCGAAAGATCTCTTTGGGTAAATTGTTATTAGCATTTATATATCAATCTATGGGTCTTGCCTCACTCAAGGTTAGGCTTCTCTATAAAACTCCCAAAACACTTCTTCTTTCTGGTCCCCTATGGTTGTTACAACATTGGCTCAATGCCACTTTTGAATATCGTGTGTGTTTGTTTACCGTGGGAATTGGTAAACAACCGCTGATCTTCCAAAAGGTTACTTATTTGGTGACTCGCAGGATCGATCAGATTGATCCTAAGACATGGTTGATTTTGGGGTTTTGACTAGGCTTGATAATGGTTAAATGACAAGAAAATAAAGAAGCTTTATGTAAATTGTATGAAGAAGAAAACTTGATAGAATAAAGGAAGGCTTGAAATAAAGGCTTTCGACTGGAAAAGTAGATGAAGAGCAATAAAGTTCTGGAAAATAAATGACTTTGATTAATTAAAGTGGTGTTTCACACATACATTCTCAACAATTCTTTCGCTCACACTGGGTACTTGAATCTATATGAGTGACTTGTATATAATTGTGAACACACGCGAAAAACTGCGTGAACTACTAATATTTATACTAAACACATCTCAGGTAACCGTCGGGCAGTTACGCTGCTTCGAGATGACTCCACTTGGCACGCTCACAGCATTCGACACTCTCGATCTTGACACGTTGCACTTGGTAACCGCTGGGAACCGTTTTCCCTCCAAACGTTTGAATCTCAAACCGTTCCACTCTGAGCAATCGAACACCTTCGTCGAGAAGCACCTTCGACGTCGAAGGCAACCAGATTCTTCCTTGGAAGAAATTCTCTAAGTACATTGCCATCTTCTGATGAGCATTTCGACAGAACCAGCTGGTCGAAACCATCCTTCATGCTTAATGGCTTATACTAATAAAAACAAGGGTGTCGAATTTAGGAGCCAACAGTGTTACCCTATTTCTGAAGTCCTTTTGCGCTTGTCTGACAATCGATCCATTGAAGGCATTCGACTTGCCTTAAATACTCCTTAAGAGGACTTGAACACAATTAACTTCATGAAGTACATAAATATATTTCTTGAAACCACTTTAGTTTCCGACGTGTCCCCTTTTGTGGGTCGACACATTGGCCCTACCTGGTTAAAAAATCCTTTTCCTGGCATTTCCCATCCTGCTGCTGCTCATTTGAATGAGGTGCGGAGAGCATTCTTGACTCATACTCTCATTTCTTTTCGGATCGACACTAGGTCGAAGGGTTATGGCTTCACCAGTGATCATCAAAATTTGATAGCACGCCAGTTTGGTATTATCCAAATATTGCCCAAATATCTATATTCCTGCTATACTGACATCTGTTAGGCAGGACACAATCATTCTGCTGAGGAACACATTGATTGTCTTCATTTCCATCAGATAACTCAAACTTGGAACTTCCAATATTCCATTTTCAATAATCTTTCTTTACCAGTGTTGAGTTCGACATGTGGTGGTATAAATATCAGGAACAACACTTCTCTGTAGACACCTTTCTGCATAGACTGTCAGAAGCTTTCGACAAACTAGAAGACCAACCAAATACTTCGACAGGTACGTTGTCAATAACTCTGGTTAATTTTATTTCTTAGTAGCGTTGTTCATTTATCATTCCATGGGACCCACAATGGAAGCTACAGACCCCACAGGGAAAACACAAAGTGACGCTCAAGAAACATCAGCTACGGTTGCCGAAGACAATCAACCAAAAAAGTAAATCATACTTCCTTTCGACTTATTTTCCAAAAAACTAGTCTAACACTCTCATTTCTTAGGGCCGCAAGCGGACTTCGACTGTGGTATTGGCTCTGTTCAACCATCAAAGAAGAAACAAAGTAGAAAACCTCCAACTCCTCAGGTATAAAAATCATTTCAACTTCTTATCTTTTTGTGTCTAAGCTTATCTTACTGATCTTACTTTCAGGTTCTTGAGACAACA